GTCACCAACCTGCATATGCCATCAGTCAGAGCACATTTCTGTTTACGTCTTCCACTCACAAATTTAATACCGTTTCCATCTTAACTAAGCGTTTACCACACACTGTGACTGTAGTTTTGCAGTTTGAGGCGAGACAGAAAAACTAGCATGGATTTCTTTCCTCTTCTTCACAATCTCACTAACAGAAGAGTCATCCTTACCATAGATCTTAGCAAGCTCAGCATGTAATTTTTTCTTTTCTTATTAAGTAGAGGACTATCATCTTTTCACTTAAAGGAGGTACTTTCCGGCTTCTCTTTCAAATAGTCAAGTTGCCAGCACTACTCTTGCACGTTGGAGCCATTGCTAAGAAAAATAAAGAGGACTTGAAACCCAAGTCCTGCGATACTGTGACAGTCAAGCTGATTAAGCAAGAAGGCTACAAAGTGACTGTGACTAATGGACTGGTAGCATCTATGGTGTGGATACAAGGGACAGAGGGATGACTCACATCCCAGGTGGGATGAGGTGGAACTGCGCAAAATTTCAAAATGTTCCTCAGAGTGACACACAATTTAAAACTTGTGAATTGTTTGTTTATGAAATTTTCTACTTAATATGTTTGGACCGTCGCTGACCACAGATAATTGAACCGTAGAAAACAAAATCCCACAAGGGGATGCTTTCTCCTTCCCTTTATCTCTGTCTCTAGTGAGCGCACGTGCTCTCTGGCACTTAAAAAAAAAAGAAAGAAAGAAAGAAAGAAAGAACGAGACTGTTAAGCCTTTTCCCAAAGTAGTGTTCTTCCCTTTTACACTCTCATAAAGAATGTATACTGGGCCTTCAAAAAGTTCATGGAAATGCATATTATGAAAAAAAAATATTGGGACCAGCAGTTAGCGTAATGGCTATGTCGCTGGACTCCCACATAGTCGACTGTGGTTCATGTCCCGGACCCGGTGGCTTAAACTCACGCCGGGTGCGTGTGCGTGTGTGCCCAAGATCCTGAGAGGAGAATGGAGGAGAAGGGATTGCGGTGTGGCCATCCCCTCTGGGGGGTGATTTCTCGCTTTCTATCTCTCTGTCTCTGTCTGGCGAGCGCACACGCCCTATAGTGAAAAAAAAAAAAAAACTCTCAAAAAAAATGGGTTTTTTTTTTTTTTTTAGGAAAGATTTTTGCTATAGGGTGTGTGCACTGTCCAGAGAGACAGAATGTGAAAAATCACCCCCAGAGAGGATGCCCACGCCACAATCCCTTTTCCTCTACTCTCTTTTGTGATTCTGCGCATGCATGCATGTACACACACACACACACACACACCTGCTATGAGTTTCAGGCTGCCGGGTCCAGGATTCAAACTATGGTCAGTCATGTGGCAGTCTAGTGCCTTACCCACTACACCACCTGCTGGGCCTGTACATATAAATTTTTTAAAATCTTTGCACCAAAATAAATTTGTACTTTAATTTCATTTTTCACAAACTTTTCAAAGTCCCTGGACATCTCTATGACTATTCCCACTAGCTCCTGCCTGTCAGAGTAAATCACTGAACCCACTTTCCCACTGATTTTTGCCTCAGAAGTTTGGGGAGTGTAGGAGCTTATATTCCAGTGGCTTTCTTCTTCTAAGACCTGAAGAAAGGAGAATAGCTTCATCTATTTGTCTAACTCTTCTACCTTGCCTACAAAGAAAATATAAATTATCAGAACAATCACCTGACTAGAAAAGTTAGTTCTATGCTATTTTGTGTTTGTGGTAAAAGAGTCTCATTTATAAATCCCAGATTTTGTCTCTGTTTCCAGCAAGATTTAATAATAGTCCACAGAAGAAAAGTTCCCAATACTCAGGCTCAACGTAGCCTCCTTCATACTCCCTTCAGAATCATTGTGTAGGGACCAGCAGTTAGCGTAATGGCTATGTTGCTGGACTCCCATGTAGTCCACTACGGTTCGAGTCCGGGATTTGGTGGCTTAAACTCATGCCTGGCGTGCGTGCATACATGCCCATGATCCTGAGAGGAGAAAGGAGAAGGGATTGTGGCGTGGCCATCCCCCCTGGGGGTGACTTCTCACTTTCTGTCTCTCTGTCTCTTTCTGGCAAGTGTACGTGCCCTATAGCAAAAACCTCTCTAAAAACAACAACAACAACAACAAAAATCATTCTGTATATGATCACAACCACCCAGTAAGGCGGGACTGATGCCCCAGTTTTACAGAGAAGGTAGCTGCACCTCGAGTGCAGGGTTGTGTCCCTGAAGATAGATGCTCCCCACCTGTCTCTCCCCTCTCAGGCAGCTCCCACGGTGGACTCTGGGCAGCTCTCAGCTCTTTCGTGCCTCCCTCCCTCCACGTGAGAATAGTGCTCTTGGCCTGCTTCCTTCCCTCCCCAGCCCCACTCAGCTCCTGGCTTACATCCTCTTTCCTTCTTTCTTTCTTCCAAATCTGCACAATTACTTCACAACATTCTTGTTCATCCTTCCTCTCCCTTGTTCTCTTCCATATGGAAACTAAAAATGAAAACTAAAAATGTATCCTAAGCCTGCCTGACAACTGTCAAAGCAGCGTTAGTGCCCTAAGGAAGTAAGCCACACTGAAGCCCTAATGCCGTCAACATCTAAAGCCCTTGAAAATACTAAGAAGTCCTTTTCAGAACCTCCACAAAGGAACCTTCCACTTTTCTCATCCCTTCCTAATTAAACTGGCTTTTCCTCAAGAACCAGCATGCTACATAAACAAAAAACTTTTGGCTTCACTATTAAGTTTCTATTTTAATTAATAGCATCACAGCAACATGGTTTTCTATCACTTTGTTTGTAAAGATAGAGTATGTCAGCAACATCTTTAGTTAAATTGTAACACTGTGGCTAAGACAAATCATGAACTAAACGCCTTTCCAGAACAAAATTTCTTAATTAAGACTTGCCATTTTTCCTCCTGAACTTCAGGTATGTGTTAGACAAAATTCGCTTTGCCATAGCATCTTTTATATGAGAGGACTTCAGAAAGTTTGTGGAAAGATGGAGTGAAAGTATGAGCTTATTTTGGTGCAAAAAATGTGTAAATCTATTCATAGTTTTTTTTTTTTTTCATAATATTCACTTTCCAGGAAGTCCTTGAAGACCCCCTCATATAGACATTTTTGAAGACGCAGCTGAATTACCCTTGGCATCATGGCTTTATATGTATTATCCCTACCTGTAGTACATATATTGATATTATTAATATTATTATGACTCCCATTTTGCAGATGAGAAGACTGAGATTCAGAAGAGTTTAGCAACTCACTGCTGGTCAGTGACCAAGCCTAAATTGACCCCAGCTGCAGCATTCTCATCACCACGCTGCACCTTCTCCCGACTGCCTGGGACCACTAAGCACACAAAGTAAAGTTTCCCAGCACAGACTCGGATAGGCTACGCATGTGTGACCCACATCCCTATCTGCATCTCCGGGGTGTTCCCAGACAATTGTTCAGACCTCGCCATATCCCGGGAGTGCAGGAAACAAAATCGGCAGAAGCTCAAAGGCGAAGCATTAAGTCCAGATGTTCAGGAGATTCAGAGCTATTCTGGAAAACAAAGTTTTATCTAGAAAAGAGTTTCAAGCTGAACAATGGATAATCGGCATCGATTATGTATTTTAATAGTTGACCTGGCGCTGAGCACTGTTACGGAATGTGCCTGTGTACATGGTCTGTTCTGTCATCAGAGCCCTGGGGCTCTCCTTGCTTACTTGCTGTAACAACTCAAACAACTAACTAAGAGATCCCCCACTCAACAGAGGCTGTCAGTTGTAGCACACTTAAGGGAAAAAAGGGTGAGAACTCAGATTCAGTTGTAGGAACTGACTCTTTCCACTGGCTACCCTGGCTCCTCGCCTGCTACTGATACCTGAGGCCAGAACCCATGGGGCCCTTTCAACCCCCCATATGAAGTATGGACTTCATCCTTCTTTCAATAAAACTTTGGTGTCCATGGTACATAGACTCTTGCTTTTCACTCTAGCCCCTTCTAATTTACCTTTCTGTGCTTGAAAGTCTAGAATTCAACCTTTTTCAGGTTCTCTTGCAGCTAGCATTCTGGATACAGATTAGGTGCCATGATTAGATGTGTTTGTATGAGGCCCAGAAGGCAGAAGTTAAGGCAGAATCCATATCTCTGTCCCTTTCCAAGCTATTTTTGCTGACAAGATCATAAACCATGAGCTAATTTTGCCACATCATTATTTCAGTGTTCAGCATCTAACTTCCCTGAATGTTGAGAAGCCATCCAAATAGTTGGTAGCTACAACCTACGAGTCTGGCTTCCTAAACTCTGGACAGTGGCATTAGAGGAATGTCTTGAGCCCCTCCTGCCAGTGGTCATCTCAGCAGTGGTAGTTCTCCTGGTGAATCAGTCAGTCCTGCTGTCCCCCGGATCTGCACCCCCACCTCACCCGGCCCCATCACCACCCTAAGTGCTAGCAATTTTTGTGTGCTAACTGTGCTAAACACTTCACATAAATCATTTTGTTTAAAACCCTGAACAACCCTATAAGGAAGGTACTATTATATATCCTTTTTTCCCAGATGAGTTAACCAGGGTTCAGAGGAAAATTGCATAGGATCAGAGCAAAGTTACTAAGTAAGGTCTAGAGGCTGGAATGTGATCTCAGATCTGCCTCAATCTAAAGCCAGAGCTCTCCCTCTTTAAAGTTGAGGGCTTAGGACATAATAGATTTTAATTGCTCAGACCCATGAAGTTGCTCAAAAGACATCATTCTTTTCCTTTAAACAATATAGACACACAAGCCAGTCTATTTCATGTCAAGATACAACTAGATATCGAAAAAAAAAAAAAAGCCTCCCATCTAATTAAACAGAAATCCATTTAAAAACCCAGAGGTATTGCTTTGTGAAAACTTGTTTAAGCCACACAAAAAGCATTTTTACTGTAAAAATTAAAGAATTAAGATGAAAGCAGGCACAGCCTTCTACTAGCCTCTGGAAGGGCCAGAACTGGGGAAACAGACGCACACTTACCAGGCGCTCGGTTAACAGCGAGGTTTCTGAAATGGCTGCCTTTGATCATTTCCACAGATAATCGCCCCGTTGTGGGATTGTACGACAGCCCCACCAACAGCTCTGGCGCCCCTCCATGAGACAGCGACTGCGTGGATGAAGCACTATCGCTGTGAGAAATTGCAGATGGGCTGAGCGGAGACTCTCCACTCTGGAGGGGAAGAACAACAAAGAACCCATTGGCCCACGCCGTACTACTCTCCTTGAGAGAAAGCCGATATTATGTTTGGTGGAATTGTGACTCAGTCTCAATGACTGCCAAAGATTACGAGCAGCGCACTCAGTGTGAATTACAATGGGCCCGAGGAGCACAGTCCTGGATGAGATGCCCTGTATTATGAGCTGACATATTTGTTTCAACAGTTGTCTCCACTCAGTATCTCCTCTCTGAAGACGGAATGGACAAAAATGTTATTACTAGTGTAAATCAAACCCTCTAAGATACATGGAGAGCTAATAATACATTTACTATAGACCCACATTCCCTCCTGTGTAATTTGTACTTGAATGTTTCTAATGAACTCATCCCCAGTTTAGGCCTGAGTTTTGTTTCTGCTCACTGCCGCTTCCTGACGAATGTGGAGGTATTCCTCTCACCTGTCAAAGAAAATGCCGAAATGACCATGAGACAACGTTTGGCCCCTGGTTCTGTGTGTTAAAGCCATTAGGAATATGCCAGATACTAAATGTTTTCTCCTAAGGAAATTAATCACATAGAAAAAGAGCTCTTTTATAACTGTTAGATAAGGAAGCTGAAACTTGGATTGTGGATCTCAGACCTGAGCACTAGGTCAGCCTAGGAGATAACTCACATGTGCTGTCATGTTCATTCATGTACATGTTTGTCCTGAGCACCCACTTTCATGTACCAGGCACGTCAGGACAAGGAGAATAAAGCAGATCAAGATACTGATTCTCACTCAAGGAGTGAGGAGTGGAAGGGGGATCCGTCTTGCAGGGCAGGCCAGCCATCCTCCCAGAAATGCCACCTTCTCTGCCAGAAACATGTGCATTGGACTTTGCTTTAATCTTTCTCAACATCTGACATCATTTCCTAAAATATCTTATTAGGAAATCAGTATATACAATAAAACCAATCAGTAAATACATTTGAATAAATGGCTAATTGGTCCAATAGCCCAAGATACTATCTGATCTTTTTAGGTATTTTTTTGTTTTGGTTTGGTTTTTGTTTTTTGAAAAGGAGGTCCTCACACTAGGTGATAGAGAACCACAGCCAGCCCAAGAGGGCAGTCACTCTTGTAGACACACAAACTATGGTTTGAAGCCCTGGGGGCATCTGAGGAATGGGGCATGTGGGAAAAACACAGGAAGGTCTCAGAAGAGGTGTCGGGAGTCCCCCCCAGCCATACTCATTAAGGACATTACTTTGAAAACCATGTCTCTGAGATTCATCATAATGCATATTGGGGGTGAAGTGAGGGGTCTGGGGGTGGTAAAAACACATGATCACTAACCAGGAGAGCAAGCAGCCTCTCCAGTTTTTCCATGCCCTCTACCACTGCTGCTGTCATTTCCTAAAATGGACAAGGAACACATCCGTCAGGTTATCGGGAAGACAGGCATGAAAGACCCATTGTACCATGAAGTGCAAAGCATGGCTTATAAGGATGAGGAGAGCCAAATGGAAAATTAAATTAAGGTTTCTGAATTCACAGGCAGAATCAAGGGCTGACAACTCTAGGCCTTCGAACACGCCGTGTCATTAGCAGCACCATTTAACATACTCACGCTTATATTACTTCTTGGCTCCAGAACCAGAGTCACTTTCATTTCCCCTTCTGGGTGCAGGTGACTGAGATAGAAGAGCTTCTCTCCCATCATTCTCTCTCGGGTCATTTTACGGGCAGCGTACAGGCGGAAACGGATAGCACAGGCAGCCACCTCTCTGGACTCCAGCCTGGAGAAGGTGACCTTCTCTTTGAAGACAGGGTTGGGCCCTCTCTGTATGCTTGTCCTGCCCCTCTGTTTCTTGCTGGGCAGCAGCACCACACGAACTTGCCAGGAGTTGACGCCACTTCGGTCCTTTTCTGGGAGGCCCTGTGCTTTCACAATGGTCACTATGAGCTTCTGGCTTGCAGGTCTATATTCGAAGGTGACATCTAAGTCGCCACACTTGGAGATGGGCTCTGAGACCCCAGATGGCACCTGCAAACTGGTTCCATCCTGCTCCTGTTGTGGGCAGAAGAAGAGATTAGGAATGGAAATGATAATGCCCAATTACATTTTGGCAAGTTGGTGCCCTGCTGAGCTCTTTCAGAATCCCATACCTTCTGTCCGTCAGTGCACAGCCCTCTGTTAGAAAGGCCTATGTACTCATCTATTTTTTCATTAGACTTTGAATTCTTTTTTTTTTTTTTTTTTTTTAGAACACAGTGCCTTGCATGTGGTGAGTCTTCATGAAAGTTTTTGGAAGGAATAAATATAGCTTTTATATTTTATGGTCCATCCCTGAGGCCTAAGGGTAAAGGAAGCCAGATCCCATATGACCCATCACTGTTTGCAGTTTGAATTCTGAGTCTCACGGTTTAAAAAACACAGCTGGCCCCAATTCCAGCAAGATGGAGAAATGGAGGTAAAGGCATTACGGTGTGACCATGCCTCACTGCCACCAGGTGCTTTCTCCCTTTCCTCTCTCTTTCTGGTGAGCGCACGTGCCCTCTGACAATTTGGGGGAGGGGGGAGCTTTTATAATTTTGCAGTGTTTCTATGTATACTGCCTCTCAAAAGCACAATTGCCTGCTATTATTGAAGCCAATTGAGATGCCAAGTCTAAAATGAGGTTGACAACGCATTTGTCCAAACGTGACTTTTCCTTGAGTTTCTAGGAGAAATGGTTGCACCTAGGCCTGTTCTCTATAGTCTAGAAACGCCAATAAATAAAAATCCTAATGGGGGTCCAGGAGGTCTATGTAGAAGAAGAAGGTTAGGGGTGAGTATGTCAAATTTTAATGTGGACCTGAATAATCCAGGGATTCTGATTCAGTTATGGGGTAGGATCTGAGATTTTGCATTTCTTAAAAGCTTGGAAATGGTGCAAGGGCTGTTGGTTATGCTGGCCTCAGATCGCACTTTGAGTAGCGAGGGTTTAGCCGGGTATCTCTAGCAGTCCTTTTGGCAACGGAAAACTGGACCTACAAGCAGAACACCAAGAACAAAGGCATAACTCTATCTACCACCTACTAGCTTTTGTCCCGGGTCAAATCACCGAGCCTCTCTCTACATTAGTTGAAAAATGCACATGAAGATGCCCACTTGACAGGGTGGTTGTGTGAGATTTTAATGGATGTGAAAATTCTTGCCCCAGACCAGATTTCTTAAGATATTTCCACCACTAGAGTAGTGCTGTCCACATTGGAACACATTGATGGAATTTCACCCACAGACAGCAACTCACTTGTAGTCACTCAGATCTGGCGTGTTAATTTTAGACATAGCAACTCAGTTGTTTTCGATGATAATGGACAATTGTGCTTTTTTCTCACTGGGAAAACTGGGTGGAACTGCATTACTATAATGAACCACCCTGCCAACAAATTATAAGTACTGTCGACATAATTCTACTTTTCCTCTGAAGGCATGACTATTACTTGTAACTAAATTTTGAACTGATTCTTACTGTAAATCAGATCTTATTTATGTAATTGAACACCAGACATTTCTAACTGAGAGACTTCTTCTTTTTGAAAATTATAATAAAACATCTCGAAATACACCTTGATCAAAATGAGACCCTCCTACTGATTTCAGGTGAAAGCACACAGTTCTCCAGAATTACATACCCCTAGAAGCCCAGGTCTTCCACTTCCTAGCTCAAAGACATTGGACAAGTTACTTAATCCTTTCCACATTCTGTTTTTTCAACAGTAAAATGAGGATTGTATCTACTGTAAAAGATTATTGTAAAAAGTAGAGGACTTGACATAGAAGTAGGTATCTAATATCTGCCTTCTCTTTTAAGATTCAAATTAGCCTACCAAGAAAATTAACATTTCTTGTAAAATAAAGGAAGCTTCTTATACCCCTTTCTCTGAGCATGCAATCCTGTGTGAGTGTTTCTATTCAGAGGTACTTAGTTTCAAGTGATAAGTGGTTGCTATAGAGACTTTTGAATACAACTGACTAGTGTATATATAATATTAGAAGCAAGTCTCCAAGGAGTTAAGCCAACTCAAAAATCAAGTCAGAATCTTTTCTCAAATTCTCTTGTCTCTTAAAACTCCCATGCATCTTAGCCTACTCTTCATTATCTCTACATTGCTTGCTTGACTGTAAGTAATAATAGCTAACAACTACTAAGTCATCCGTTCCGCTAAGTACCATACTATGTCCTTCACAGACTAACAAACGCCAGCTCTTATATACTTCAGATCTTCACGGCCTCATCTCTTGTTCTATCTTCTCCAACAGGCACAGTCTATTTGGGCTCTAAGTGGCTTCAGTCTGGCACAACCCAATATAGTCTTACCTCCTATCCATACAATATCATTCTCAGCTCTTATGACTGGCCTCTCTGTTGATGCCAAGCTGAAAAAGCTGCAGGACCTTGCCTTGCATCTATGCATGTAAAATCCAGTGTGGGGGAGGTTAATATCCCAAACTCATCTCCCCTTTATCTGAGATGAGTTTATATAGCTTCTTGGAGTCTAATCCCACAAGATCAAGCAATGATTCACATAGTGGTGGCCAGCTCAAATGCTAGATCCCACTTCTTCCCTGCCACTTCCCTTCTCCCTCACTCTTGTTCCTTGGGATTCCACTCACTGACTAAGTAGGGAATAAAAGCCTTTGCCTTAGGTTCTGCTTTTTGGGAAACCCAACTAAGAAATATTATCTTCTTACATGTTTACATCAACCTAACGAGGTAAGTATTTTAATATATTATTTGTGGAAGAGGAAGTTTAGAAAGGCTAAATAACTAACACCCTCCCCCGCCCCCATGCCAAGATCATATGCCTAGTCAGGATGATAAAGGATCCATATCCTGGTAGTCTGAGTCTTAACCAGTATTTAATACTCAAAATCCCAAACCTTACATTGAACCATAAGGTCTCCTTTCTTTTCCTCCAAACCTTGTAGCACAGCAATTTATAAGGATACTGAATGTGAAATGAAGAGGGAAGAAGACGGGAATTAGAAACATTTACTACCATGAAGTTTGTATCATTTTAGGCCCTGTTCTTACTATTGGTTGATATTTCCTTGTTTTGCCATGAACTTCACTATTGAGGTAAAATGTCCTAGTCAATGAAACTGTCTTCACTTACCCATCAGGCTATCTATTCAACACATGCTCACTCTACCTGCAGATTGCTGGGGGAGTCCTAAGAACTCTGAAGAAAGCACAGCTCCAGCCCAGGCTCTGATGGGCCAATCCAAATTGTGGTTTATAAAAACTAGGCTTTGTGGCCCTCCCTAGGTGGATTTGAAACAAAGATTTGTGAAAGTTGGCATTTTCATAGCAATTAATTATTCCAACACACATTACCTATCACCAGGCAACTAAAGGGGCTCCTCATGGGGGTTCTGTTTATACCTCTAATCCATCTGACCTTCCTGCAAGGCAAAAATCTCTTCATTCTTATCCCCATTTGGCAGATGTTAATTAACTTCACAAAACCAACCAACTAATCAGTGGAAAGCAGAGATGAAAAATGGGACACCTGTCTCCTCATGTGCTCCAAATCACCAGCCACTATCTCATTGTCCCTTACAAGCCCTGGATTTGCAGGAGAAAAAGTCAATGGCCTTTGTCTGCAGAGAAGAGCAGTACCCAAAAATCCATAAGCCTACAGGTAGTCACATGACATGACCAGTTTCCTTCTGAGGCAAAATAAATGATTCCTTGAGCTCTAAAATCTAGGATTTTCTTTTCAAGTGGATACTTGTGCCCAACTGTCAAAACCCATGTAATTTTAAAGATTTTTTTTCTGTCAAATTGAAAGCCTTTCTGTTTTAGTAAGACAGTGTTGATGTCATCTGTGTCACCCAAAGTAAACAGACCCACAATGTGTTCCCATTGCCAGATACATGGGGGAAGACGAGGTTCTTAATACAGCGAAGAGGCAAATATATCAATTCTTAAAGGGCAAGTTAAGCTGCAAAGCAAGCAGTTACAGGAGCTGCCTCTGAGTTGGATTTGAAGTTCTACTGTCGGAGCACCAAATTACAGTTTTTTGTCTCAAAATAGATAGGAGGTTGAATGGAGCACACAGAGATGTCTGGGTATTTTTAGAGTCAGAACATTTAGTATCCTCAATACCAAATCTTCTATTAAAGCTCCAGGAGGCAGGTAAATGGGAGGTTACCTGGAGAAGGCAATTCTAAGCCTGATGGCACAAATTATCAAGAAGACAGAATCCATTGGCAAGTAAATGGTTCTATTTCAATTTTGTGATGAAAGAGCCAAAAATAATATTTTTAAATATTAGACATTTTCATGTAAGATTATATGACTCTTAGCAATAAACTGATGGCGAAGTAGACACTTTATTTTTCCCAACAAAACTTACATTAATGTCCTGCCTTTCAACAAGCCACAACCACATATCCAAATTACCATTTTTGGTCCTTATCAGAAACACCAAATGGGGCATGAATGCACATGTATTCAGTTCACTCCCTACTGTTTCTAAACTCTAACATGTTAACATAAGGCTGTGGAACATCATTTTCTGTGATTTTTCCCCTTTTCCTTGATCATTTATTATGTAAGATAGTCTAGGACCTAATAAGAAATTCATCCTATTTATTTTCTCAGACTAATGTTAAGAAAATACAATCATTCTTCTACTTCTTCCTCCATCTCTAAAAACAAGTCATCTTGTATGACTTATTTCATCAAAATTGCTTTCAAAATAGGAAACAAATACCACCATTTAACACCTTCCAATGTCATATAATCATAATAGGAGGGATCTATCTAATGAAGAATAACCACTAATGCCTGTAAGATAAAATCATGTTTATAAAACACTTATTGGAGTGCCTGTTATCTAGAAGTATGCAACAAATGGTAGCTACTACCATCATCATCTCTAATTATAACTCTGGATGGTTAGACTTATTCTAGACTAAGCTAAAAAGAAATTTAGAAAAGGGTTTTTTTTTTCCTATCAGATTTTATTCCAAAAAGCAACATCAACGCCCATTGCTCTATTTCTCTAGGAAAAAACAATAGATCATTTAGACTAACATTCTCCTCTAAACTTTCAGTTCAGTTCAGAGCTAACAAATATATTCATACTGTAAGATCCTCATCATATCTTAATTTCATTTGGAAGGCCATTTTCTTTTAGTTCAGTTTTTAAACAATATTCATATTCAAATATTCATACATCAAGGTAAATAAAAATAGACTCCACTTAATTGAAACCATAAAGGAAATAAACTATCTCTCTACAGAACTAAAACCTCCTTTACTGAAAATTAAGGCTATAAAAAGCTTTTATATAATAGAAAAGTCTGACTGGTTGGGTCTATTCTACCACCATTCTTATTCCTATTTATTTATATTTTTGCTATATTTTTTTCATTTTGAAATAAATTTAGCTATGATTCTTTTTCCTTTTTTTAGAGAGAGATTATTGCTACAGAGTGCATGTGCTCACCAGAGAGACAGAGACAAAGATACAGAAAGCAAGAAATCACCCCCTCAATCCCTTCTCCTCCATTCTCCTCTTGGGATCTTGGGCACACATACACATGCATTCAGCATGAGTTTTAAGGTGCTTGGTCCAGGAGTAGAACTGCAGTCAATTATGTGGGAGTCCAGTGACGTAACCATTACACCATCTACTGGTCCTAGTTATGACTCTTACCAACTTCCATAGTGGCTTTAGTTATCTTAACAAAAATTTAATTTTAAATCTGTGTTCTTCAGGTCTTTGTTTTTCAAAACAATAATTCCTTTCTAGAACATTATTTTTGTGGGGAGAGAGAAAGAGGAAGGAAACAAGTGGAGAAAGAGGAGGGAGAGGTGAGAGAGAACCAAGGAATACACAGCACTAAAGCAAGAAAAGAGTAAATGGAAAACTTGCCTCTGGACTCCACAGGGAAGAGCTGTCAGTGGCATAGGAATCTTCAAACCCCCGGTTATTAAAAGCTGTCTCCATTTCCAAGCTGCCCTCTGTGGAGTGGCGACTGAGGCTTCGGACCACACTGGTCTCGTGGTGAGATGCGCCATGATGCCTGGTGTCCCCTCTCTCATATAGGGATTGTGAGTGGGCAGCAATGGAATCATCTTCACCATAAGACAGATTCTCAGAATAACTCAGATGGCTGGCCCCATTCAAATCTAAATTTTTACAAAGGATGGCATTTCAAATGTATTGTTTTTTTAACCTGGAGAAAGAACAACTGCAACCACAGCAATAAAAATTGCAAAAACAAAATCCATACCAATAACAATTGCAGAAACATAATTCTACTCATAGAGTGGACAACCTTGGTTCATATCATCAAAAAGGCCTTTTGCTCCTGACATGGGGTACAGAATGCTTAATACTTTCTAATACGATGAATATAAAGAATGAAACAAGCACAGCATTTGGTTGGAGTAAGTGAGCACAAGACTTTGGGAATGGATCTAGAGAACCAAAACCATAATCTCATGTGCAGAGCACATGGTCCCTTGATCTATGGCCCTTCCTTCTCTCTTCCACATTCACATTCCATATCATCCTCTGTTCGGAAGGCTTCCATGGTTCTACCAAGTGAAACGTTCTATATTTGATCCATGGGAAGAATACTGGACTTGGGTTCAGATGATCTGGGTTCATTTATTTACTTATTTAAAATTTACCAGAGGGCCTATGTGCTCACCAGGTGGAGGTGGAGAGGGAAAGTAAGAAAGTGAGAAATCACCCCCACGTGGAATGGTCATGCTACAATCCCTCCTCCTCTATTTTTCCTTTCAGGATTTAAGGTATGCCCGCACATGTGCTCAGTGTGTTCTTCAAGCTGCCAAGTCTTGGACTTGAACTTCACAGGCAGCCATGTGGGATCCAGGCTCTTCATTCCCATGCCATCAGCAGCCTGATGTTCTGGATTTAAATCCTGTCTCTACCTTAAGAACTTGAATATCTAAACTCTCTGAACTTTTGTCCTCTTATCTAAAAATGATAAAAATCCATCAGAGGATCATTGTGGACACATGAAATACTAGCCCACCTGTTAACCAGCTGGCCTTCCATAAATACTAGCCTTGCTTACCTGTCTTACTCAAATGGGACTCATCTAACCCATCAAAACCCCATTTTCCACCACTTCCCAAATTTCTCACTTCTAGTCTCGCAGGCTCACAAAAGTGCTGGTTGTGCTTTTTCTGTCCACACGATCCTCAAACCCTCTCTCCTATCCATTCCTTCCTATCTGAAGCTGTGACATCTCCTGAACATTCCCTGACACCTTAATGTAATTCTTCACTCTCTCTCTCCCAGTAAAACCTTTTCCCCATTCATCCCTTTCTTCTCCCCCAATGTTGAGGTTGCCCTCAGATGATAGTAAGGAAAAAACTGAGTCTTCTGAAGCAACAGTCTTCACGCTGACTTGTCCCACACACCCAAAGAGCAACTAAGGTCTCCTTATCTTTTTAGCCTCCACTGTCCTCTAGGAGCCCCCACCCCAGAATAAAAGAAAACTGGAGACACAGACAAGACGAGTGACTGGGATGGAAAAATAGATGGCATAAATCCAGCTCTTCTGTGCGCATTGTGTAAGGACAATTGTTTCTTCCCATTAACCTGATAACCTCAGCTAGAATACACATACATAGTCTTATTCTGCTGGTGGGTCTCACTAAAAGTTCACATAGCTTTAAAGTAGCTAGGTGTGCAGCAATTCTACTGGCTCTGGGTCACTTACACATTAGATTATGTGGTGGTGCCAGCGGTCCATCGGATAGTACATGATCCATCCACAGTAAGTATTCAGATATAAAACGTATATTATCACCCTATGTCAACCATATAAAAGCACCCTTAAGCAGGTGGGGTCCTTGGGGCACAACTTCAGAATCCTGATTTGGAATATTCTAAATCCATAGTAAGGCACTGAGAAATTCCCATGCCTACCTTATTAGTCTTAATAATTCAGTTCCAGACTCCTTGGAAACATTTTCATAGGATACCACAAAATTTTTACATTCACACTTTCAATTACTTGGCAAATACATTTTTAAAATACCACAGAAAATGACAGAACAAGGGAAACTCCACATGCAAAAACCTACAACATAAAGCAGAACTTCCTCCTAAGTCTCTAATTAGCACACCCATTCCTCACATACATGAATGGTAAAATGTCCTATTAAACAGTGGGTCATCCATCAACGTGTATAGCACCCAGCAGGATTTCAGCACAAAATCTAACTTTGCCAAGAAATTAGCCCCATAAAATTGTCTCATGACTTTAACTCCTACTGTGATAATACCTAGATCAGTAATAAGGGAATTTTCAAAAGCTACATTAAACCTTGAAAAGCTATTCATAACTGAAAAACATGAGAACTATATTAATGTAACAAACCATTTTCCATGACTGACAAGCAACGAATGAATTAGAAAAAGCAAATCTAGGGTATAAGTCAAACTGCAAGAAGGAAGAAAGGGAAAGGTGATTCACCTCTATATAAAGCAATCTTTAAAGAAGATCGGGTTACCATGCACACATGTACTAAAGTAGTCACCTGTTGTCAGAGAAATGTATCTTAGCTCCTTAGAAATTAAAAGACATAATTACATGACATCACCCATATTTATTTTAGCAAAGAAATTCTTCAACTTGTTTATTCCATATCCCACTTTGAAAGAATAAAACCCTATTGTCTGATTACTTTCACATGCCCAAGTCTCTCTCTCCTATCACCACCCATATGTAAAGATTTCTACTTACCATCAATGATAACCCGTTTTATGTGTCAACTTGGCTGGGCTACATTTGCCAATTATTCAATCAAACACTAATCTATTTGTTGCTGTGAATGAACTTTATAGATGTGATTAAAGCCCATAATCAGTTGACTTTAAGTAAAGATTATTCTATATAACCAATCTTAAGAGAACTGAGGCTTCCCTTGGGAAGAAATTTCAACTAAGAACTATAGATTTAGCTAATGCCTGAGAATTTCAGCCTACCCTTCCCGACAACCTGCCGTATAGAATTAGAGTGGTATGTTTCTGTTGCCTCGCTAGCCCTGATAATCACAAATTTCTTCTCCAAACAACTCATGAGATGCATGCACATGTGTATGTATGTACATATACTGTATGTATATACATCTATCTATACTTATACCAGTTCTATTAGGTTGTCAGGAAAGTCGTGACATATTTTTCCATGTTTTTCTATGCAAAAATGCATCACGACTTTCCCAACAGCCCAATATTTCTCTGGTTGAACCATGATGGATACACTGTCCCAAACAAAACTTAGCAGAGATTCTTATCTTTCTGATGAGACCAAAAAGGTAATATCTAGCTGTTATAAAATATCCTAAAATTTAGTATTCCAAGCAAAAATGAGGTGACCATTCAAAAGAGGAGGTGATTTCTATTACTCCACAGCCCACCTTTCATGCCTAAAGACCTCACGCATAGCTTCTGATCCAGAACACTTAGACGAAACCCACTTTGATGCTGTCAAGAATGCAGTGACAAGCCATGGGCAATAGAGACACAAGAGACCTTGACTGGAATACACTTGTAAAAACCTCACCACTGAATCTAGAATGATCTTGGTTAAAAATGAAATATGAGACAATAAACTAATAGCTCATTCATGGTTCTGGTTTTACTTGGATTTAAACCTTTAATTTCACTGGCAAATACTTCTGAATGAATTTTTAAAGCGGGGGAATTGCCTACAAGTAAATTTGATTTTAGGAAATTGGGTTTACAGTAGAATTACATAGCCAAATGAAAAGAGAACAGTCTGAAAAAAAAAAAAAAGTCCTTCCTGGGGTGCATGCTTAATCTTTTCATTATTCTTTATCACAGAAGCAAATATACTGAGGTAAAGATGAACAAAAAGAAATGGCACAGAAAAAAAGTAAGCAATAAAAACTATATTAACATTTCCATGACATTTGACAACCTAAATTTGGCTTGCCGCTATTCCTATGAAAATCTTGATTCTTCTCCCAAATCTATAGATTATTCATCCAATGTAGTGGACTTCTTCCTGTCTCCAACAGAAAACTTTTACCTTTTTAAAATCACCATCTGTCAAAAATTCACTATTACCAGCTATGACAAAAGATAAGTTATTGCTAATTCCAGGAAGGGCAAGGGTGTTAGAATAGTTGTCAGAACACTCAGCCATTTGTGTAAATCAGAAACCAGACGCTTGGACTTCTGGGAAATGGGGCCATTAGCTTTAGAATTAAACAAGCAACTCCTAGGGAATCAACTGCTATTAACTTTCATTAGCTAACATTTGCCCTCTCAATAGAGAGAAAGGAATGCTATGATGTAACACCAGAGGAAAAACAACGAGAGCGAGAGTGAGGACATGACAGAGAGTCAGCAGCCACAGATACTGTGGTTTGGTTATGTAAGGCCTTCATTTATTAGCTTACCTTGGGCTAAAAAGAATAGCAACATAATGTTATGTTGGCCTGTGTCAGAAAGTCAAACTACATGATGGATAGCAAGTTATTTCTGCCAAAAATTTAGGTTTCCTTTGTTAGTTCTACCTTTCTCCCTCCCCGGCCCCTTTTTTTTTCCTTGTCCTGTCCTTATTGCCAAATCAAAATTTTTTCCTCTTTTATCTTTTCACAGCTTCTGTGCTCTCCTTTTTCTCTGCCCAGTGTTAAAAACCTGGAAGATCTGCTTCTATGCCCCATTGGTTTGATTGACCACATACCCAAAAGGAGAGAAGAAAAAGGCTAGGGAATTCAGGTCATTGAGAACTGGTCATGAAGGTGTACAATGTGACATTAGCTTTTTACCAAATGCAATGCACAGACCCTTTCCTGTTCCAGTGTCTGTGTCTATTCAGGCCTCTGGGCATAAAGGAACTAGAGATGTCTGACCTTTTTGAAAAAAGCACTAAGAAATATCATACCGTTCTTGTTGTATCTCTTCTCTGGTTATTTTCTGTATGTAGTGAGGAGGGAGGGGTATCCTTAGTGGGTAGCCTTTCCACCATCACGAGCTGTGCCTATCCTCCCTATGGGTATTTTTGTGAAAGATAAACTTAGGGTAAAGATTCAGAGGAAAGCATAAAATGACCTCACCGAGTAATTCTGGGGTTTTTTTGTTTTTGTTTTTGTTTTTCCACCCAGTAATTCTCATGCAGGTGCGGGTACAGAAACCACCACAAGGCCTGAGGGTGAGGATGCAGGGTATGTGCTGTTTGAAAGAGTTATTTGATATTACAATAATACTGATTTTTATTTGGGAGACACAAATACCTATTGCTATAACAACATAAAGTGTTTAAAAAAACTATTAAAACCTTCAAAATGTCTTCTGAGTTTACACAGATGTGCAGAAAATTAACTGCATGATTCTAAATGGGAAACAAGGCACAGAATCTCTCAATCAGTGAACAGGTGTGCAGAATTTTCCTACTGAAGAGAAGAGAGTAAGATGGTACCAATCTTGATAAATACTGTTCTAGTCATTCATGCTCACAATTTATGAAGCAGAAACCTACAAGGAAGAAAAGGATCCTACAAATCAGGGTCAAGAGTTACCCATTTCTGATCCAATCCCCCCCAACTCCCTGCATGACAGCCTTCTCATGGGTTTAAAACCCCCTTTCCCCATCCCAGTCACTGCCACCCGCCTTATTTGCTTTCCCTCTAGATTCTCCGGTGAGGGGGCTCAAAACAGTCTCACCACTGGCTGTCCTGGGCTAGATAAAGGAAGGGTGTAAACAAAGACTACCTTCACAGGCAGACACCTCCGTGCTGCCTTCTTCATGGGTAGAGAGCAAACGGCTCGATTTCGGTTTCAGCTCCAATCCTGTCTGCTTTCCATTCTCAGATGCTCCTGAACGGAAACTCTGGGACCGGGACACGGAAATCTCAAATTGTTTGATCACCTCCTCATCACTGTCAGAAGATGTGGACGGCTCTTCATCATCCCCGAAGCTGTTAACTGGTAGCAAACAAAAAGCCATGAGTGTGAATTCTGTGACCCAAGAGAGGGATAGGCAACCCGGGCACACGGAAGAGAAGAGCATGGACAGTTGTGTGGATCCAAGCAAGCTCAAGCTGGATAGAAAGATATTACAGCTTTTTGAAACACAAAGGTGTCCCTGAAGGGGGAAACAAGAGAAGACAGACCATGGCAGTAATTAGAAATTCAGGGCTAGACACCAGGAGAAGCCACTAGGACACTCACAATCAACATAACCAACCCTTGTGTTGCAGCCCTGCTGACTTACACTGCTTATAGGAAGGTACATCAGAAAGTTCATTGAAAAATGGAATCTAAGCATGTGTTTATTTCAGGGCAAAAATAAATGTCGAAATCCATGCATAGTTTTAATAGTATAGTATGTATTTCACTGAACTTTATTTTTATTTTTATTTTTTTTTTGCCAGAAAGTGTGTTGCCAGAGACAGACAGTAAGAGAGTGAGAAAACACCCCCAAAGGGGAATGCTCATGCCCACAGACATTCTCTGCCATCTCTCTCCCTTCTTTTGGGATTCTGGGCATACATGTACATGTGCCTGGTGTATTTCTTGAGCTGCAGGATCCAGGACTTGAACAGCACCGTAGGCTATGTGGGATCCAGTTGCCTTACCTACCACACCACAGGCTTGGCCTCTGGAACTTTTAAAAGACTTATCATTTTTTTTTTTTTGGAGAGATTTTTGCTATAGGGCGCGTGCGCTCGCCAGACAGACAGAGAGAGACATAGAGACAGAAAGCGAGAAATCACCCCCCAGGGGGGATGGTCACGCCGCAATCCCTTCTACTCCATTCTCCTCTCGGGATCTTGGGCACGCACGCACACGTGCCCGGCATGAGTTTTAAGCCACCGGGTCCGGGATGTGAACCACGGTCAACTACATGGGAGTCCAGCGACATAGCCATCACGCTAACTGCTGGTTCCCATATGTTTTCATAACTGGGTATTGGTCAATAATCAGCAGATTTTCTTTTTAAGTAATTGTAGTCACTGAAAATGGGATATGCTTTTGTTTCATTTATTAAAACACAGAGCCAACCCTCACGTCAGAGAAGAGATATTTGAAACTAAGATTACCTACAAGGTGTCTAGTTTTTAAATGAGACTCAATGTGTGTAGATTATAACTAGTTTATAAATGTCCTGAATCTTCCTCAGCATCAACAATCCTATTCAAACATTCTTTGAATTCTTTTTTTCAGTAAGTTGTATTGTGTATGTTTAAAGTTTAACAACATGATGTTTCAGCATACATATAAGAAGCAAAATGATTGCTGTTGTGAAGCAAATTAACATACCTATTATCTCACAGTTACTTTTCATGATGAGAAGAGCTAAAATCTTATTAGATTGGTGCAATAGTAATTGCAGTTTTACATTGTTGAAATCCGCTGTTTGACATTAGATATATTCTTACGTAAATGTGGGTATGTTATATATCATTTTAATGCACATTTCTCACTTTGTTTTTTGGTGAATAACTTATTCTTGTTGTTTACTTTATATGCATTTTAGACTATGGAAATGATGTTAAACAGAAAGAAAATTAGAGTGACTTTCTTATTCAAGTTCAAAATGGGTAGTAAACCACTGAAGACAACTTGCAACATCAACAACACATTGCCCAGGAACTGTTATTAATGTGCAGGCAGGGATGGTCCAAGAACTTTTGCAAAGGAGACAAGAGCCTTGAAGATGAGGAGTAGAGTGGCCAGCCATTGGGAGTTGACAATGATCAACTGAGCAATTACTGAAGCTGATCCCCTGACAACCTCCCAAGAAGATGCCAAAGAACTCAACATTAACTATTCTATAGTACAACATTTGAAGCAAATTGAAAAAGTGAAAAAGCTCTGTAAGTGGGTGCCTCATGAGCTGACTGAAATTAAAAATAAAAGTCTATTTTTTTCTGAGAGATTTTTGCAATAGGGTGTGTGCACATATTAGAGAGACAGAGAGGCAAAAAGTAAGAAATCACCCCCCAGAGGGGGATGGCCATACCACAATCCCTTCTCCTCCTTTCTCCTCCCGAGATTTTGGGCTCACACACACATGCGCCTCATGTGAGTTTTAAGCCGTTGGGTCTGGGACTCGAACATGGAAGTTCACCAATGTAACCATTATGTCATCTGCTGGTCCCCCCAAAAAGTTGTCATTTTGAAGTGTCATTTTTTCTTATTTTATGCAACAACAATAAACCATTTCTTGATTAGATTGTGATATGTGTCTTATATGACAACCAGTGATGATTAGCTCAATGGTTGGGTCAAGAAAACTCCAAAGTACTTCCCAAAGCCAAACTTATACTAAAAAAGGTCATGGTCACTGTTTGGTGGTGTCTGATTGACTACAACTTTCTGAATCCCAGGGCCACCATTATATCTGAGAAGTATGCTCAACAAATCTGAGATGTACTGAAACTGCAATGTCTGCAGCCAGCACTGGTCAACAGAAAGGGCCCAATTCTTCTTCACGACAACACCCAACTGCATGTCGCATAACTAACACTTCATAAGTTGAACAAATTGGGCTACAAAGTTCTGCCTTACCCACCATATTTACCTGACCTTTCCTCAACTGACTGCCACCCCTTCAGACATCCTGACAACTTTGGGCAGGGAAAACACTTCCCAACAAGCAGGATACAGAAGATACTACCCAAAAGTGTGTGGAATTCCAGAGCATGGATTTTTATGCTACAGGAATAAGCAGAGTCATTCCTCATTGACAAAAATTTGTTGATTGCAATGGCTTCTGTTTGGGTTAATAACAATGTTTGAGCCTAGTTAAAATGATTTAAAATTCACAGTCCAAAACCACAATTGTTTTTGCACCAGCCTAATATCTAAAAGTCTCTGACCAATACAATTTCATCAGCTGTAGCCCTCAAGTTGTAGATTAAACCTCTAGTCTTGTTTATCCTACATATTAGCTATGTTGTATCATTTGACTGACATTTGCCCACATATCCCTTTCCCCTCCTCCAATAATCATGTTTTTTTTAATATATTTCTGTGTATTTGATCTTGTTTTATCAGATTCCACATAAAAGTGAGATCATGCAATATTTTTTCCTTCTGTATCTGGCTTATTTTACTTAGCATGTGCCTTCTAGGTCCATCCATGTTGTGGCAAACAGCAAGGTTTTATTAAGACTCAATAATGGTCCATTGTAGGCGTGTTTCATATACACACTCCATAGTTTCTTTACCCTTTTCATTCATTCCTGTTTGCCTAGATTGGTTCCATATCTTGGCTCTTGTGAATAAAACTGCAGTCAGCATGGCAGTGCAGATAACTTTATGACACAACAATTTCATCACCTTTGGGTATATACCTACAAGAAGATTGATAGGTCATATAGTAGTTCTGGTTTTCATTTCTTTAGGAACCTCCAACCATTTCCCAAAGGGGCTGCATCAATCTACATACCTACCAAGAGTATACTGGGGTTATTTTTTTCTCCATACCCCTTACCAACACTTGTTATCTTTCATCTTTTTTATAATAGCCATCCTAATAAAACCCTTTGAATTATGTTCTCCTCACCCTCCCCACTCGAGCCCACTGTCCCACTTTCAGTTTCTCCATCAGACTGAGACCATTTCTGCTTTTGAGTTTTTTCCTTTGATGTCCCTTCTGCCTCCTCCAGATGTTTATGGGGCTGGCTCTTTCACATAGTTTAGGTCTCAGTTTGGCTGTCATTTCATACTAAGGGCTTCCCTGATCACCCTTCCTTAAATAGTTTTCAGCACAGCACCAATCTTTATTTTTCCATTCTCTCCTACAACCTCCATGACAAAGAAGTGTTGTAAGTTAATGTCTCCCCATTATGTAAAACAGTGTTTGTTGCACCATAAGCCCTTAATAAACACTTGTTAAATTTTTGGTAAGTTGTTGAATACTTAGTGTTCTCCAGAGCTTGAGCACCCACACACATTCACACAGTCTTCCCTGCACCTGGAATTCTCTTCTCCAGTTCCTCTGTCTATACTAGTCAAGAACCTAAGTCATCATCAACATCTCAGCCTAGAAATCACTTAATCAGAAAGTCCTTCTTTAACCCCTTAACTCACGTTATGGGCTCCTTCCATGTGCTGCAAAATAGTTCTCTCTTGTCCTTTGCCAGAGCTCCCTCCCGCCTTGGGGCAGAACTACCTGTCTAATTGCCCACTGTTCTCTCTGCACCCTGTGGGTCAGGAGGCATCAGACTACCTACCTTTGCATTGGAAATGATAAATAATGGGAATCATGAAATAATTTCCTCCTCTTATCCAGAAATCACACAGTGACTCCAGAGAAGAATACAGTAGTTAATTCACAGATGGGTCCTGACAATCACCTCTAAATTGGAAGCTAAGAAGAAATAAAAAGCTATGGTCTTCTCCTTCTTCTTTTTTAATTTACCAGAGAGCATGTGTACTCACCAAAGAAGGGGGAAAGTGAGAAAGTATCCCCCATACAGAATGGTTATACTGTAGTTCCTTTTTTTCTGTGTCTCCTGCCTTTCAGAATTTTGGGCACACACACACACACACACACACACACACACACACACATCTGGCATATTTCTAAAGCCTCTAGGTTTAAGACTTGAACTATGCAGTTGGCCACATGGTATCTGGCTACCTTCACCACCACACCATAAGCTGGCCCTAAAAGCCATATTTTAGATGATAGAAGATAATTTTTAAGCACAAGCCTGAACAAAACATTATCCTATAGCTTGGGTAAGCATGGACATTCCTTAGATTTCTTGCAAGACTATTAATAACAAACACTACAGAGTGTTTTTTACGTACCAGGCATTGTCCTAAGTGCCTCAGGCATATTTAATCCACACAACACTGCTATCATTTTTTTTTTTAGGGTTTCTTTCTTTCTTTCTTCCCTGAGTGAGCGAGAAAGAGAGGTACATTATTCCCTACAGGGCCTTCATGCCACAATCCATCCCCAGCTT